AAAAAAAATATATATATATATATAATCCGATCAGAGGCGACGTCGATGACCCGTCGGCAGCCGGGAGGCAGTCCGCATTTGGATCGGATAGCGGGTGGCAAGCTCAGCTGCAGCATGAGTCATGGAGTCATGTCGTCTGTTCAAGGAAACTTCTGCATGTTTGTCCAAGGTGCTTGTTGGACCTCCTGTTGGAGGACACGGGACAGACCAGGCTGGCAATAAAGTCATATCTCTGCAGCAGGGACTGCTGTGGCAGGAGTTACAGTCTCTGGGTGCAGCAAACGAAGATGGAGCTGGAAGGAGAAACGTTTGTGTTTCCAACGGTTGCCCATGCCCATTCGCAGTCCACATCGCTTCAATGCTCGCAAAATGCGGAGGCATGACGGCGCACGTCTTGCCAGACTGCTGCTTGCTTATCTATCTAGCATGTTTCTTTGTACTGTGGCTTGCAAATGTCAGCATGTGCTGTGTGAGCCTCTCTCGTGGGAAAGTTACTTATAGAATGCTATCAGACAACCAGTGCATAGGATGTTCGAAGTTGCTGACGACCATTGACAATTACATTGTGAACGCATTTTGCTTGCGAATGCTTGCGTGATTTCTCCCGGTGGCTCCAAAGCTGCTAAAATTCCGCAAGGTTTGCGATATTGCAAGCAGCCCGGGGGCTGTCATTCTCCAGTTGCTAAACGGTGTTGTCATCGCCTGAATTCGTTTGGCTGCCTGCTGGCATTGCGCAGGCATCTTTACAGCAAAGACCAGGCAAGCCCTACACGCACGGAACAGCGGTGAGCCGCTTTGCTTTTGGCTTGGCATGTCGACTGCACCGTTCAATAGCACAGACTGTGACCGTCGTCCATTTCTGGGTTCGACCTCATTTCTGTCGATCGATCCGGCCTCGAGTTGTACCGTTGAGTTGCGTAATGTGGCCAGCACGGCACCATGCTGTCAGTTGCTGTTGGCCAGGGTAGGGGATTGCTTGCCTTCGGGACCGTCTTAACTTGGAGGACCAGCCACCTTCGTCAAAATCCTCGAAGAGTCGATGACTATGCGGCCATCTTGATAGGTTGATTAGCACAAGTTACTCGCCTACGCCTCTGTAGACACCGGAAGACGAACAACCTGTAATTGGGAACAAGCACTCGGGAGAAAGAACCAGCCGGGGTTAACTTCCGACGCCGAAGAAGGGCTCAGGCATCGACTGCACTTCAAGTGGCAGTGACCGTAAGCTCCCCATTCCCCATTCCCCAGGTTGAGGGTGTTGTGACCTTCATCCTGGGAAGTGGTCACGTACAACGAGTTTTTTTTCAGCTGGGCTTCAATTGCAACCGTCAATCTGCAGCGTGCAGCCACCATGAGGCTAGCAAGATATGCCGGCCTGTTGCCGGCAGGCACGACTCGGAGCAGTCTTGTTTGCCAGACTGTGTGCAGCCCGCCGTCAGTTTGGCAGGTAATTCAGAAGGCTCATCCGCGAGGCAAGGCTGAGTGACGTTGAATCACATCGAAGGTTTCAAGCACATTCAGGTCTGTGGCCCCGGCTGTGCTAGATCCGATCCTAAGGCAGCAACAGACTGGCATGCGTTGCGCCACAAAGTCGATCAACGACGCTACATGAGGTGCCTGGGAGTTGTCCTGAAAGACTCCGCCCGAAGTTTGTGGCGATCTCAGTCTTAGCGGTTGCTCCATTGTCGCTCATCTCGCGGGCGTCTCGCGAGGACCTTCTCCGACCTTGCGGCTGCTTTGGAAACACTTGCGACTTGGATGCATGATGGATGCCGACCGAGCGCTCTTCCTTGTACTGGGTACTTACAGGCAGATGCTGGGATTCGGCCGCGCAGTGTACTGGAGGTGGGAGCCGCTGCGAGCCCTCTGCTTGCACTGACCCAAAAAACCCATTTTGCACCTCGCGAGGCACTGATGTCTGCAGCAGAGGCATCCTGAGTGCTCATGTTGTGAACGTAGATGCATAGGCTGTTTAATCGTGCAATTACCACGTAGGCTTGCCAATTTCCTGCTGTACAAGATGATGCTGCGACATCCGTGTACTTCTTGGGTGTTCCTTGCTTTACTGCCTCTGTGGCAAGCAAATTCGATATCCTTCCAGGTTGCTGCTCTGCTGCACGGTTGGCGAGCTTCAGGCGCTCCGCATGCTTGCGGTTGTGGCTGTGCAGAATGCTCTGGCTGTTTTTGCTTGTTTGGTGCAGTGCCGCCGTGCCGTCCAACACTGACCATGGCAGCAAGTACCAGTGTTCCTGTCACAACCTTTGCTCAGCTAGCCTTTGACCTGACGAGTCGTTGTGTGGATCGTCTGCACACGAGTTAAAAGTCGTGTGAAGAAGAAGAGGGGCGGAGTCAAGGAAGGCCGGGCAGGGCACTAGCAACATCCGCCTGCAGATGCTCAGCTTGCCGATGTTAGACCTCGTGGTGGTGGTCGTGGCGGGAGGTTTAGGAATGCAGGGCAGTCGGGTTTGAGGAAGATGTTGGGGTGGGGGTCGTGGTCATGCAACAACTCACTGAGAACTCTCAACCAGGCCGTGGACAGCAACGGTGAGGAGCATGTGCAACGGCAGGATATGGGCCAAGTTTTCCGATGCCTGCGAATCAGGGCTGCTAGTGCGGATTCACAGGCACGTGTGGCTGCTGGATGTCGTGGTCGATCGTGCTTGGTGCTTTGCTGCTAGGCCGTTGGGCCATGCGCGTCCTGACTTCAAAAGGGGATCTCGCAAGGGTTTTGGCCCAACTCCTGTTGACGCTTCCAACCTGGGTGTACCCTGCATTGCCTGTCCAGTTGGCACCAAGCGCGCGAAGCCACCGCGTGGCCATGCGACTTAAGGCATCCACCCAGCCAGCTGTTTGTGTGAGGCGCAAGTCGAAACACACCCCTGGGCATTTGCAACTTCCAGACTGTCAGACTCCTGTTGCACGGCCAACCAACGGCGATGGAAGGGCCCAAAAACGCTGCAGGCAGAGAGTGACAGCGTGAATAGTCGTGTTACTGTCCTTGTCGGCCCGATGGGCGGAGTCATTGACAGCGACCCCGGGCATGCGCACCCCTTCCCCAGTTGTGGAACCATCCATGCGTCGTCTGTGCATGTGTCGGGATTGAGGCTTCCTACTTGTCATAACGATGATTATGTACCGTTGTTCAATTCAGCTTTCTTTAGCTCTGCAGGGTGCAGGCAGGGGACACTGCGGGGACCTCACTTCACCAGCCGATTCTAGATGGGCCGGGGAACGTTCAAACTTCATTCCGATCATAATGGGACCCTGGGCAAGCTCGCACTGCATGACGATCTTTGAGAGCAGGGACCAGGAGGTTGAGGGGGTTCCGATTTGGAGGGAGTATGGCCGGGGCCTCACTGCTAGAGCGCCGTAACTCCATGGTTTTGTTTGTGCGAAGAAAGCAGTCAGGGAAACCAGGCTCGCCAGGGCGATGTACTACCGCAGTCAGGTAGAGGATAGAGCCACTGCTATCATTCTCGAGAACCCTTACAAACACCGAACAACGGCACCCCCCTCGAAGCTGGGGGAGCGTTGCAACTCCTTGTTTATGCTGTTGAAGAAGAGAGACTCGCAACATGCTAGAACAAACAGCATCCTCCCAGTTACTTGGGCATAGCATGCTCCCACCTAACCCTTTCTCTCCCACACCTAGCAGCTGCTCCTTTGTGCCGGGATTCTGTTGTCGGCTGCGTACATGCATGGAAGGACAGCAGCTGAGCCCAACCCTACGACAACGCCTTCAAGACTTCTTATCCCAACTCGAGGCCGGCAGTGATGTGCTCGGATCGTGCGGTGCGACACGCGAGACCCCACACTGTAGGCCGCAGGATCTTCCTTCTCGATGTTGGGCCATGGACTCGGCCAGCCTACGTAGCAGTACCTAGATGCCTTTGCTTGGTGTTATTGCCTGGACATGTCGCATCAGGCGATCGGCCATTCCGTGTTGCAGCGCGCATTTTGGTCAGCTCGGTTGTGATTTGCAAGCTTGCTGTCAGACTTTCACGAAGTCACGTGAGATGTCCCTCAACGGTCTGGCTGCCTGACTCGTCTGCTGTCTCGGGTTTCGGCAGCAAGTACACCCCTCTTAACCGAAATATCCGAAGCAGAGAGAGATGCTCTGCGGGAGAGAACAGTGGAAATTGAATGCATAAGCGACTAGCTTGGTCAATATTATCATCGAACGGTGGAAGTAGATCAGCTCGCTCAGAACATGTCTACGGTTTGGCCATGAACAGCGCAGCTCAAGTGCAAGGAGACTGCCTAGTGACCTAGTGGACCTAGTGTGCTTCGAAAGCCTGTCGGGCACATGCCCGAAGCCATGGTGAAGTCCCAGCTCGCTTAGCATCGCTTTGCGATTCGCGGCCCATGATTCCGGAAGCATGGACTCAGCGAAGGCGGCTTGACCAGCAAAAGTTGGCTTAGCCGCCACCACACCCCGAACACAGACTGCTCAGCTGCTGTCGCACAGAACGCCAAATTTACAGCATAATCCATGTTTGATTCAACACTGCAGGTTTGCGGATGGTGTGCTCCAGACAAACATCAGGACTGCACGGTGGCGTCATTGCCTTCTGCCCCACGTCTTTTGTCTACCTACAACAAGCCGGGCCGGGCGGCGAAGTCATGGTCGAGTCATGTCCATGTGAGTGGCCTTTTGTGGCAGTCCGTTCATTGAGCAAGACACAGTCAGGCCATTAGTGTCGATCTCTTCAGCCGTCAGCCACAACCTCAAAGATCTCTTTTGGCATTGAAAATCGCGCACGAAAATGTGAAAGTGCGAGAATTCACCATGACATGGCGAGCCTTCTACTCGTAGCTTCAACGAAGCACAAGCCCCCATTAAAATTTGTCTAACTTTTTTACTACAGTAAACTTGCAGGAAAGACGTCATGAAAGTTCGATTGGTGATCGGCCTCCTCACAGTCCGATGCCCGGCCTTTTGGTTCCTGGCGTTGTGGACTGTGTGGCATCACCCGAGGTCGCTACTTTGGGAAGTTTCACTTCGATCATGGCCGAGGGCTCCCTGGTTAATACACGACACAGAGCCTCCTTGCCCCTCGACTTGGAGAAGAGCAGCTGACAGGGCTGAGTCATGCTTTTGTGAAGATGATGGTGCTCAAGTCAAGACCGCGTTTGCTCGAAGGTGTCGAGACTGGAAATTTAGGGAAGAAAGCATGCAAGATTGTAACGGAGCTTGGGCTGCACTGGTGGTGTGTGCGCTGCTGAGCCGTTTACCTGCAAGAGTGGGGCATGCAAGGTGTAGTCGTATCTTTCCCGACAGTGGTGCTCATTACTTCCATTCTGTCGTTCGTCGGAGCCCGAGAAGACAGCACTAGAACGACAGCTCTGCAAGCATTTCATACTCAAGGCCACTCTTGCCAGCCTCCTATGGCTCGCAGTCCACATGGTCACATCTGATCTTACCAGAGGTGGAAGCGACACTCGGCTCGGTGATACCTTAACATCAGGAGACAAACTCAAAGACTGAACGGATTGCACTTGCAAGTTCGCGCGCAATCTCAAACTTGGTCCGAGCAAGCCACAGCTCTTTCGGACCACGTGGATGGATGTTCAGCTGCATCTGTTGACAAGGATTTGTCAACCATGCTCGTCATCTATCTCGTTATCAAGGCCGGGTCTCTCCATCTTGGGACCTGCTAGAATTGCTTTCCCATGTTTGTCGAAAGCCATGCGCGTGGTGAATTCTGTCGGTTGCGAACGTACCCAGCAGCCATCTCGAAAGTTGCAGGTCATCTTCCTGGGACTGCATGCCACATTTATCGTGATGACCTGGCACTCGAAAGTAGCAACACCGCAGGGATTTGGATTCACAATCCTCGGAATTGATATAATGATGGCCGCTTGCCGTGAACAGGGATACTGGCGCGGCCTGGTAGGGGTGCATGGTCAGCCCTCACATGCCGGAGCATGCTGCACGCAGAATCTGGAAAAATTGGTTCGACTAAGGTCATGCTTGCTTCCTGTACATGGGCGAAGGTTGTGCGCATGCAGCAGCAAATGACAGAGCTTTGGCTGCCTTGCAGAATTTGATGACAGCGTGGAGGAATGCACCAGCTTTTTTCTAACCAAGGAAGCAGTCCGCTCTCGCAATGCGGAAGCTCGATCCGCTTGCATGAAGAAGTTGCCGACTGCTGCGTACAAAGACATGCCGAGCCCTTTGGGGCTGCCCAGGCACATGCTACTGGGAGAGCCCATGTGTATAGACAGGTGGGCTTATATGAGAGATTCACAGAAGTTCATCTTGTCAGACTGAGCGCTTCAGGCCGCCAATGGAGTGTCTGCACGAATCAAGAAGTACGATTCCTGCTTGTAAGTCTCATACCGATACCGAATGAAGCCTGCGTGCGGTGTCGCGCTGCTTTTTTTGACAAGGTGATAAGAGATTTTGCTTGACTTCCTGACAGTGGTGCATGCCGACGTAACCCAGAGCATGCAGGCTCCAGGAGAATTGCGTCATTTGCCTCAGCGACTTCGAGCCAAATTGCACAGTCCTTCGGTGCTGCAAGCAAGTGCGTCCGAGTGTGAGTGGCGAGGCGAATAGGTCCAAGAAGGCAAAGCACGGATGATTTGAGATAGTCGGTGATCACAACCAAATTGCTTCGAACTTCATCGGGAGCGCCCATCGCTAGACTGTAGCAACGAGTCTTTCGTAAATGGTTGGTTGCCGTTGCTTGCACACGGTCTTACGGGAAGTGGTTTGAAGTGGAGGAGACCTGAAGATGTGGCCACTCAGGTTACTCGACTTGCATGCGGCCATGTATTTCATGCTGCTTCGGCGGCAGGAAGTGCAGAGCAGGCTTTGAGGATTCCCAACTGCAGAGAGCAGAGACCCTGGAGCGCGTTGTTTCCTCTTCAGGCGACCTGCATCAAGAATTGGCTGGTCGATGCTGCACATGACAGCTGTCCATATCGTTGCCAAGAAGATCCGTTGGAGATTGATTCTCGGTCTGCCAGTCACGCAGGTACAGTCTTGCCGGCAGAAAGCTTGTTCAGAGTCCATGCTTTGAGCATGACTGCTGGAGTGCGACAGCTGCGTCTTTTGCGACTACCCGGCAGTTGCAAGGCGGATAAACACAATATGGCTTTCAAGCTGCAGCGTCCATCATGTGATTGGTTATGATTGATTTTTTGTGACTAATATAGCATGACGTAAAAGTGCGCAGGCTTTAGTCTCAGTGGTCTGACAGCAAGCCGAAGTATTGCCGAGACCGAGGCGGATGTGAACGATGACGCCCGACCGTGAACTGTACAGGTACATCACTCAAAGAGCAATTGTTTCTGGCAGAAGGCAGGCTTCAGTCCTGCCCCTGCAATTTGGTAGTTCGGAATGGTCGGCGGCCATCCAAGGTGCAAAAGTCTATGACAATGTCGAGGGAAGATTTCTCATAAGCTGCAATTCCATGTCCAGAACTGGTTTTCCTAGATGTTGTAGCCTGGCGGGAGGCGACTACCTTGAGCTTTTGCAGTCTGCAGCCGACAACGAATGGCAAGCAGCAAGCCTTACGTAAAGACTGACAGACTGCAACAGCATGTCGACCAGAATTATTGGCTAGCACTTGTTGGATTTGCAGGCCTCACCCTTCTCAGGGAGGACCGATTTTCAAGCACTGGTGCCAGGGGAATGGCTTCATCGATCTCGCCTCGTGTCTGAAGCCACGATGTGTGAGTAGCATTCCTTTTCCTGGCTACCTGCGATTGTTCGCTTGGCTTGTTTGTCGCGCTCGACTCGCAAAAATCGAAGATGTCGACAAGCACAGCTATATACCAGTGCATCGTAGTGCCACCACGATCGTGCTGCTCAGCATGGGAGGCAGCCACCGATGCAGGATATCCAGTGTCCGACCCAATTTCACAGCCCGGGTTAGGCTAAGAAAACATCGTTGCGTCGTGAAAGGGGCGCTCCCTTCAAAAATTTCTCCAAAGTCTGCTGGCAGAGGCCTCGCATTTAACATGAATAACCGTTAGACACAAGCCTGCGCTGCGGGGTTTTGCTCATCAGGCAGTGGACGGCCATGGACATCACCACCCCGACCTTTTTGAGCTGTTACTCGCGCAGCGCCTGGATTGTCGGTATCTACTGCTGAGCATGCCACCCAAGTGCACTGTCTTCAATCGACACCCCCTCGACATCAGGCATTGCAGCAAGTCGAATCAGGCATCCGAGATTGTCCCGGCTCTGCATTCTTGCAACGCTCGGTATGCACAATACCGATCGACTTCCTGCAGATGCGACTCTCTCCGAGCTCCTGAACGATACCAAGGCTTTGTCTGATCCACTTGTAGTAGAATGTCTTTGATCCTGTTTGGCCAGGTGGTCCTCCAAGTCTTGTTGTGTCAGAAAGCACCGATTGGATTGCAGCCGGCTCGCCTGGTTGAATTGCTGGAGGCCCATCCTCTCTGCCGGCACTTCGTCGTAATAGCTCTGACTGCATGGTACAGACCGGGCCCGAGCCAATGATGACAACGTGGACCCATGTAGACCCCAAACAGTTGAACCCAGCACTACTAGCCCTACATTTCTGGAGCACCCTTCCAGGTCCCAAGACTACCGCCTCAGTCCACGGCAGCACGTTGCAACAGTCGCACCACAAAATTTTGCCAAACATGCATGGGCTGGGGCAGGCACAATGATGTGAGGCGGCGTAGCAGGCTATGCAGGTAGACTCCAGGTAGACCGCGCGAAATTGAGCTGCAGCTAGTGGCTGATGGCACCGACGCCCTGGCTCGGTGACTCCCCATGTCGTGCTGGTGTTCCGCAGGTCTTCCATGCTTCCTGCCACTTCCGTGAGACTTTTTCGAACTTTGCGATTGCAACGTCCATGCTGAAATTATTTGTAAGGGTTGCCCAGCAGACTGGAACGCTCTCGGGGAGTGGAGCTTTGGAAAACTATTTCGGCAGGAAGCGAGGTTCCCGTGGTTCCCCTCTTCTACAGACAACCCGGCACCAACGGCATAGCCGCCATACTCGCAGTTGAAACGAGCCTCGAGGCCACATCCGTCGAGTGATAGTCCACACGCTCCCTCAACCACAAGCCCCCCCAAAAGAGGCAGCAACACATCTCCCAACACCCCACACCCTGCGAAAGAAGAACCCCGCCGGAGGGAGGGTTATGCTGTTCCCAAACCACGTCTCTGATTTTTCACGTCAGCTTTTCTTGCCTTGCGACAGATGCTGGCAAGATCCGGCGAGTGGGGCTCGGGCCATACTTGTGCATTACCTGAAGCCACGCTCAAGCCCAAGAAAGCATTGCATTTGTCACTGTCTTTTGAAGGCTCAGAGCTCCTGTCAGCACTGGCAGCAGAAGCTTTGTCACAGTCGCAGGCCGATGTTTCACTGTCACTTGAGGGCTGTAGAGCATGCACTTGGAGTGCTGTCGGTTTCGCAAGAGGTTCTGGGACCAGCCGGTATCTGCCTCGGACCCTGCGGAGAACAGCTTGCCTGTGCCGATTGCAAACTTGTTCAGAGCTCGAAGGGCTCGGCGTTGTCATGGGAAGGTATTGCATCAGCTGTTCAGGCATTGTCCAGGCAGGCCTCCGGAACAAGTCTCGCGATGAGTTTGGCGACTTTCAGAGTTACAGAGACGAAAAAGCAGATGACAGGTTTACGCAGCAGCTTCGAGTTAGGAGGGTGCAGAATTTGGAAAGCTTGCAGCTACTGTGTCCGACGGATTGCCGGCAAAAGTCCATACCGTGGATAGTTAGTTCATTCAGATTCTTGTATCATGCCTCGCGCTGCCTGCCCATCAGCTGCAGGCTCGGCGCTTTAGCTGAGCCACGGTGCCACCTGAGCCAGCGTGGAGCGGCTCAGGAAGCATGGAAGGACTCCAACCAGGGCGCCACTTCCCGTTTGGTAAGGTTGGCCAAGCCTTTTGACGAAAGGCATCGGTCAGAAGTTGCAGGCCTGCTAGGACCTCACTCGCAAAAGCGTTGTCCTCGCCAAGAAAGGTTTCCTTTCATCAAGAGTCGAGCCAACTGGCACGGTTGCTCGCGCCACGGCTGTTGCCTGCCCATGCATCGCAGGGTAGGATCGCATTTCGTCAACGTTGGGTAACTGCAGGGCCGCGGCACTCATGCGGTCACTTTTGGCCAACACCCCGGCAATGACAGCATCGGTCATTCAGAGCTTATCGGTCATGAAAGTTCCGTTCATGTTCTATGGCTCGTTCCCCAGCTTTCCAGATGCTGTCCTTTCAGAAATCAGAATACCGTACTACCCCTAAGCCGGTGCAAGTCACAGTGCGCACTGTAGTGCAGCCGTTGCCGCCGTGCATCGGCTGCAGGACCAGGAAGCTACCACTCAAGCCCCACACCTAGTCTTGATACCAATGAACCGATCTCACAGCATGCCGAAGCTGCGGCCGAGCAGCCGGGCGGATCGAGCCGAAAGACGACCCGCAGGCCGTGCTTCTGCAGGCAGCGGAAAGTAGACACGCTCAAGCCGACGAGGCACTCTGAAGTCGCAAGCAAGTTCGCAAGCGCTCTCGAGAACGGAGTCCTTGTCGAAGCTTTGCCAGCAAAGCAAGATTCAAACAGACAAAATACACACGAAGCCATACAGATGAGGATGATGCCAGCTCCCGTCCGGCTTGAGTTCCAGCGATACTCATCGCCGGCCTCGGGGCCCATGGGACGACCCTTGGATTGCAAGGAGCATTTCAGGCGTTCAGAAGTCAGGGCTGCAGACTTCGTAGCCACAAACCTTGGCCGTCCGTTGCCCGGGATGACTGCTGTCCGAAAAATCCGAACAGTGCAGATGAGATTAGCCTCAATCTAGTGAAATCCATGAGCCCGAAACGAGCTTCCGCAACACGCATGTGCAAACTTCAGGCACTACGGAACCCAAGCATGGTGCCTCTATGATGTGCGACTAGGCAATGCTTCCCTGCGTGCGGGTAAGTCTTTCAAACACAACTGCGAGGAACAGTCTGTATCATCCGCGCAAACTACTCTAGATAGATAGACAGATATATATGTGATGTATGTGCATATAGAGGAAATTGCCTGGATGAAGTGTATAGTGTGCCCGAGAGAAAAGAGTATGCAAGCAATGTGCGCCGAGAGGACTGGGGGCAGACTGTCCTTCAAACATTGTCAATGGTTGCACTTGCTCCACCAGAAGCTAGGTCCGGTGGTGAGATATGACAACTGGGAAACAACACAGCAGCTGCATAGGTCCGGACACCTGGCCTCAAATGCGGTCAATCACCATATCGCTGGAGAAACTAGAGTGGCATCGGCACAGGCACCAACATCACTATCTTTGCATACTAAATCACCTGGAAAGCAGAGTCGGTGCATGACACGCACATGGCCAAGGCAGCAATGTGAAAATGGCGCTCGGCTGAGTCATTGTCTTGACGGCCACTTTAGGGTCTAGCCTAGCCGGCCCTGCCCTCCGACACATATTTGTCGTGCTTCCCAGGTCGGCAAGCACTTCAAATTTCAAGCTTACATCGAGGGACTTGAGAACCGCAGCATAAACATGCCACAGCTCATGCAGATCAATAGTTATGCAGCAGCTCGCCTGCAGAGTGCATACTCAGGGCGTCTATTTAGCCTGGGCAGAATGCGAGCTTGTTTGCATCCGTAAGGTACGGCAGTGCTACAGCTGGGGTTTGACCGCGACTGCACTTGATTTTCACAACATCCATGAGTGGATCGTGAAGCCAGCAACGAGGCCACTAGCAAACGAAAGCACAGCCTGGCCTGGCATTATGCATGCATCGGGACGCATGTATGTTGCACCACCCTGCTGGCGAGGGAATTCAACAGTGCCATGATGGAGCACCTCTCCGAGAGAAAGCTGGTTCCGAACTGGCTTCGCCCCTGAACATTACGCATGTTCCACCAGATTCGCAGTCTTCAGAGGGTTTTCCTTACAGGGAGAGCAGATTGCCTGGGCACCGCGGACGGTCAGGTCTAGGACTAGGGCAGATCGAAACGCCAAGCTGCCACCCATCAATGACATGAAAGTCAAGCCGCACCTAAGAAAAGCGCGATGCACAAGTTGACATACCCGCCATGTATATAGAGTTTGCAAGGGAACGAAGAGTCTGCAAGAGGTGTAAGCATACGAGCTGGCTTAGCTGTTGCTTGTAGCAGCTGGCAGTTGAAAGCAGGATTTCCGTTGGTGTCGCACGCGGTTCAGCCGTCGTTTGATAAATTGTTCGTGCGTTTGTGCCAGCTGTTGGAAAACCTTATCATGTCCGCTTGGTGCCGCTCGCCTTTGTGCGATTGCAGCGTTGATTTGCAACTATGTCTCCATCCTGTGTCGTGTTTGCTTGGGTGTTTGGCTTGGTCGCAACGTCTGATTGCATCTTGGCCCATCTTGTCCATACGTGTGTGTGTGTGTGTGTGCGTGTGTGTTGCATTTGTCGCTCACATTTCCTTTCAAGCCTGTTTGCCACGTCTGCTGTTCAAATGCTCTTTGCCTTTTGTTCAAGCCCGTCTGCAACGTTGCTTTTCAACTCTGCCCCTATCCTGTTGTCGAGTATGCATTGCGCCTTGCGTATCCGAGCATGTTTGCAAAGCTCTGGCCCATATCCAATCTAGTCCATGTCCGGGGTGTCGGCGGTGTTTTGCCTTCAACTCTGCTCCTACCCGCGTTCGTAGCGTCTGCTTTGTGCCGTTCCTGGCCGAGGCTGAGTACAATGTCTGCTTTGAAACTCTGACGTCTGCTTTGCACAACCCTATCATGTGTCGAGTCTGCATGATGCCGTCTTGCCAGCACCTGCACGTCGTGTTGCAACTCTACCCCGTGTATGCTTTGTGCCTGGAATGCCCAAGCCTGTTTGCAACGTTTGCGCACAACTCTGCGCCTGTTCTGTTTGTCATTTTAGCTTAGCGCTTTACCCTGTCTGCAACTATTTCTTCTTGTGCGTGTCCTGGCCTGGCATGAAGTGAGAGTGCGGCGCACGCAGGAAAGGCCACCGGCACGTGTGTGAACCTGAGGTTCATCAGCCATTTCTGGGGTGACCCCATGCAGAAGTTCCTGGAGTGTTTGAGGCATCAAAGGGGAGAATTAACATGTCGTCAGTTGAACGTCGTTGGGTCCACGGGGTTGTGTCATGGCAACAGCCGAGGCAACACCTCTCCGTGCGGGGACTGAGCGCAAGAACTGGATACTGGCTGTTTGCATTTGCAAACCGGCACCACGTGCCACGGCTTACTGCATTGAAACCAGAATTACCTACAATCAGAGATAACTGACGTGCTGTTCTTAGACTGAGGGAGGTCTTCGTCTTTTGCTCTAGATTCTAGATTTTATGATATGATGGCCACTATCAGCAGCCGTATGTAGCAAGCAACCACGGCAGAAAGATGGGAGGGAGCGAGGCATGGATGCCGTGGATGTCCCGGTGAATCATGGTCGATACGCATCTCTAGCATTGAAGTGTTCTGGCTTTTTCTGCGTGCTGCTTTGCCTTCCGATCACGCGCTTGATTTCTCGTCCAATTGCCTTGATGGGCCGTCTGCGTCCGCCTCGCTGTTCCGCCGATGTGGGGTCAATTGTACATTGAAAGGCCTTACCTGCGTGCATTTGAGCTACCATTCCCTGCTACTCTTCGGAATGCTTCCTTAGATTCTAATTTACGAGTAAGACATGTCGAGAGGCCGTTGGAAATATTCATTTTTGCGACAAAGTTGAATATCTTAGGAATCGGAAAAATCCGGAAGAATTGTTGGTTTTTTTTGATTTGCGCATCGAAACCCAGGGTTTTCGCAAAGAAATCCTATGTTAGTCTCATTTTCTCCTATTGTTCCAATAGTTTCAGGAAATAGCGGGATAATTAATAGTAGGAAACGCGGGGATTGCGTCGAAAATGAACCATGTTCAGTGCTTTGTGACTTTGCATCGAAACCTAGGGTTTCGTACCGAAATCAATTGTTTGTATTTTTCAATCCTTGAAGTCCGAAATAAATCCCATTTTCCCCAGCAGAATATTCAATGGTTTGTGACTCTGCCCAATACTGCAAATCTCAAATCTACGAGCCTAGCACAACCATGAATAGGAGTATCTTAGCAACAGAAGGCACAATTCACCTCATCAAATGCCTTGCAGAGGCCAGCCTTCTACTCTGCACGGGAAGAGAGGGGTCAGTGGAAGAGAAAGCAGGAAGATCAGGAAGAGCGACAACACCGCCAAGTAGTTGTTGCTCTCACCCAACTCGATACGGACGGGCCCTGATCGTGCACAGACAGGAGACTTTGGTGGTGACCACTGGCACAATGGTTACAACTTTTCCTAGGTGAGCGGCATCCGGCATCCTGCCTGCATCGGAGTGTGTTACCGGAATTCTCCACTCCCTCTTCCACATCAGCTGCTGGCAAGTGCCGTTGCAACCCTTGTCAACCAGATGGTCACATGCCGTGGGGCACAAATGGACCAGCGTGAACCGATGCATTGATCGTACGCATGCCATTCATGAGCCTCCCAGCAAAGCCAGGCACGTGAGCCAAAAGCGTGGGCTGAGAGGAACTCGGACTTTCTAAACGCGGTCACATGGAGTAATATGGAGTGGCTTTCGCAGAGCTACGCAGCACTTGGCGAAGGGAGGCTGTCACCTGCTTGCGTTGCATTCTGGCAGTGCCTCCGCGACAAAGTCAGGATAACTGCGTGAGCAAGTGCAATTGCAAAACTGCTTTGGGCGTGACTGTTGCACCACCCGCGTAAGTGCACTGAGACGCGTCCTCGCCATTTTCACCCGAGCTCCCAAGAGGAGGAGTGCCAAGAGGCCTGCAGCGTAGGCTCTAAGACTCTAAGACGAAGTCGATGGGTTCTCCTTCACCAGCAGCTTGGTCGCCGGCAGCGGTGGGCGAGACTTTGTTTGGCGAAGCGTACCCAAAACACGCAGCAGATCCTGCAAGAACCTGTCGTTGGGACAGCGGGAGAGGAAACCTGGAGCTCTTCCTCCGTCGAATCCTTTGCTTGTCATAATCTGCACGATCTCCGGCGTGTGAAAGTGCACTAGCGTTCAAAGAGCTGCTCCTCCAGTCAGTGGCTGGCTCACAGCCGGATCAGCATTCAACTCTGCGCCAATGTTACTTGAACCGAGAAGTTTCTCGTAGGAGCATGCCTTCACACATAGGTGACTGCAAGTGCACATGCACTTGGTGGGCGTGATCCGCACGTGGCCTGCCGTCAGCCAGCACCTTGTACATGCGCAGGATTGAAAAGCATCGACCGCACCGGAATCCACATGAATGAGCTAGTGAGGAAGTGGACGGCATGGGGTTCACTACCGGTCGAGCCGTGAAAAGCAGCTTTGGACCTAGGTACTTCGCAAGACAGCCCGCATAAAGGTGCTTGCTGTGGTTGGCGGGCGGGGCAGGTGGGTGCGACAAAAAGATTAAGAGAGAAAGCAAGGTCTGATTAATCCCGATTGGCTGTCGGATTCAGTGCGCGAACCGCCGCAAACTCGGAGCCTTTTTTCTGCAATCCTAAGGATCTGGTGCCACACGCAACGTCCGGTTTGGCAGATACTCATGCAGCTCTTCGAGCAGCTTGCACTGCAATCAACATGCATCTGGAGTCGTGGCCGAGTCATCGGATCTTCTGCTGTCGTCGCCGGTGCCTGAGGCAAGTAATTATCGTGTGCTCCTGGTTATGGGGGCGTCGCAACAGTCGCATGTTTATTTTTCGCGCGCCTGGTGCTCGTATGAGTGGGTCAGAGCCCAAGAAAGGAAATCCATGATTCTTATCTTTGAGCTGGGCTTAGGTTAGGCTGCATGCTAGACGGCTTGAAGGATTGTGTATCGCACTGACCTGAGCGTAGGCACTGTGCTTGGACTCCTCGACTCTCGCGGTGGATATTGCGGCTATGAATCAGGATATTACCCGATTCGGAGTTCACCCAGGCTTTGATGAATCCTAGAAGAGCCGCCGATAAGTCCTGCACAGGACGTGGAGATCATCACAAGTGGACTGACGACTTCAGAAGTATGCTCCAATAAGCTCCAAAGCTGCAAGTCCAGAGCACTTCTCCAACATGCCAGACTCTGTTGGACTTGCCTGGTGCGAAGTCTTAAGGTACTATCCCGGCAGTGGGGTCAGTGCCAAAAACTCCCGAGAAGCAAGCTTCCCGTTGGAGGTGATGAAGGCATCCGGCCGTGAAGCTGAGAAACGAGCCTAGGGTGAGAAAGTCGCGACATCTCGACCGAAGGAAGCCCTTGCCTTCAACTTGAACAAGACTCAGACGAGCAGTGAAGCCACATGCCGGGTATTAACTCAGTACCGAGGGCCGAGGTTCCATTCTCTTCAGACACTTTGCTGGAGTTAGGCTGGTAACAGGTCCGCATGGTCCAGTTCAGAGGAATCCGGCTTATATTCATCAAAAATCCGAGGTTGAACGACAGCGGTTGATGCGGGGATTCGTTGACATCGCACAGCCAGAGGAGGACACGGATGGTTTGCAAAAGATGACAAGGCGGCGCATGTCATCACGAGCTCTTTGCGAATGGGTCGAAGAAAGCGACAGCTGAGCATAGGCGGCTGCGGAGCTTCCTGCTGCTGCTGCTTTGGCAGAACGTCCTTGTCCAAGCCAGCAGAGACAAGGACTACATGCCAGGCTCTGAGCACACGCTGGAGTTGTAGAGGTAAGCAAGCAATTCATCACTTTGTTCGTGTGCAAGGTGCATACTTAGCGATGTGGCGAAAGGTATTCAAGGCTCGAGTTCCAGTCGCATGTCATGCACCCTTAGCTCTTACCCTTCGCTCTTTCCCTTCTTTCCTTTCGGCATTTCGGCAGGAGACTGGTGGCGCAGGTCCTTGCGGTTGAGCCTGGCCGGATGTGACTTCTCCAGCAATGACGTGCTCACCATGGGCATGCATCTTGACAAGTTGCTGTGATCATGTGTGATCCGTACCCACTGCCTTTCGAAAGCGGGCGCTTGGATACCAGGCAGAGCCTGCCAAAGAGCCTCGAGATCCTGAAGCTGGATCTGCAGTGGTGGTCTGAGTCCAGCATGCCTTCCAGTAAGAGCATTATGAAGAAGCTGGCCTGATCAAAGTCTTTGAGGTTCACAGGTTTGGACGATGCCAGCCTGTCAACAGTGGCACAACAGCTGCCAGAATGTCTTCAGAGCTTTACCCTGGACATCTCGGGCTGCCATGTCACCGACAAAGGCAGTCGCTTGAACCTGTCTGAGCCTTTGAAGCGTGCTGAAGACGCAGCCCGTCGCTGGCACGGAAGGCGTTTTGTCTTTCCTGAAGAAGCTGAATCCGGATCTCGCTGAAGTCACCTTAAAGATGCAGCATACCAATGTGTCGAAAGGCGGGGGGGTCCCCGGTTAGGCACTGCATTTTATGAACCGTGCTGCTTGGTGCCGATTGAGGTCTATTGGCATTGAGTAAAGACGGGCCAACCGCCTTACAAAAGTGGGCTCTGCTCTCTCACCAAGAGCCTCTTGGTTTGCATGCACTCGACGGGAGCTAGTTCAAACGGTGCACCCAAGACATACAATGCTACCATTGCTGTACCACATCCGCGTTGTACACACATCAAAGGCGAGCCGAAGCATTGGCTGCTAAGCTGGAAATCATCGAGCGAAAGAAGGCCAGAGCAGGGCTGCATGACCGAAACGGAGATCTGTGTTGTGTGTCCGGCAAGAATCCATCTGTGGCTCCGACTCCGGCGCACGAAGCTGGGCTGCAAGCTCCTGCATCTCACGGGGACATGCGTGACCGCTTTTCGGGCCTCGGAAGATAATGCCCCTCAGGTGCACAAGAAGGCCGCGCTCGAGAGCTTGTTGAACTTGGCTCCCTCCAAGATTTCCGCAGACGTTCTGGAACATGTGAAAGCAGACCTTGCTGCTTTGGAGAAAAGCATCGAGAAGGCTCCATAAGATGGAAGCATCGAAGCTACTTCAGGTCCATGCAGGCACCGAAGGTGATTGCTGGATGTTTTTGCGCAGTAACAATATCCGCACACGCGCTCCTGGCCCCTTACAAATCGCTGGGCTGCTGGCCCGTGCATTTTGAGTCAGGCATCCGCCAGCTCCTGCAACTTTGCAATCACCTGGAGCCATTTCCCCGCGTCATGTGTGCTGATGGATTCGTCCGAACAGAAATTTGCAGACGTGGCGTTTCTTTCATTGCACCTTACTGTTACAATCTATCACTTAACTCGAGTACCACAATGCCATGACCAAGCCCTTCCCACCCCGGCCCCGAACAATCGCCAGTTTTATTGTGATAACGACAGTACTGTTGGCCTGCAGGGTGCCGTGGAGTCGGGCTAGGTTGCCGATGCCAATCCAGCATGCATGACCGGTCAGTTTCGCGGCAGTCGAAGTCCGTGGATTGGGGTACAAACAACAAAACAGGAAAGAGAGCTGTGTGAGGACTTTGACGGCCGCAATGATGATTTGTGCCATGGGTTGCGCACCATGCCGTTGCATGGCAGACGGCGTGGCAAGATCTCCTCAGTGTGTTGGCTCCACTTTTAGGATGCCGAGTTGTGGCTGGCTACTGGCACCGCGTAAAACGGAGCGGAGTGCCCGGAGCTTTCTCGCAAATGTCCGTGGACATGTCGCTGTGACCTTTTACATTGACACCCGGCACTGAGGTTTTGGAACGCCGACTTAGCAAGGAGCCCAGTTCCCGCAGACCATGTGCACCCATGTCCGGTCAGCATCCACAGAGAGCAGCCCCTCCCTTGCCCAAGATTCCCAACGACCCCCAACATGCGAGGTGTGGCAGAGGCTGCAAAGGGAGCTCATTTCTGTACGTTGGCATTTGTAGATGCCTCAGTAACACCCTTCTGTATTCACCCTTGGAAGCAGCTTGTCCTCTGATGCCATCCTATTTTGAAGACTTGTGTCTGGTCCATGGCATTCGCCACAGTTGGGCCTGCCTTGCCTTGTGCGTTATGTCGTGGCCTGGCATAAACGAAGCTGCCCAAGTCGGGGGGGTCCTTAGTGGGAGCAGCGTTTCGCTCCCTCCATACTGCATCCTGGTCCATCGGGTTCGCCGCTCAGCGGCTGAGTGCACTCTGAAGAGTTTTCCCCTGGAAGCAAACACAGCCTGGAGTTCCTCAGCTAGGATGGCATACAGCGAAGAGCGCTTGGGAACCGCCCAGTCAATGGCTTAGCCACTTTGGCCCTGGCTGGGCTTCCTCCCAAGATCTGAGTAAGGTCCAATGCTTCGAGAATGTCGGAGTCGCGTCGGGTCGCGGCCCCAAAGCATAAGCCTATCCAGACCATCTTTTAGACAAGCAGAGCTCGGAACAAAGCTCCATTGGTTCGCCTTCTCAGCTGCCTGCGAAAAGGTCAGCTTTAAAAACAGTGTTGACCACCTTACACCTCAAAAGCTCCATCCCGGTGCAGGGCCAACAGAAAACACTGTCATGCTGTTGAGGGGGAATCCCATTACTGCATGGTGGTTTGGCAAGGCGAAGCTCATGGACCTGAAGCGACGTGAGGAGCTCAAAGATGCGCTTATCGAGAAGTTCAAGGCAATGCCATGTGGCGGCGGATGTACCAAATCACACGCGAAGAGCGGTCATGCAGATGCTTGCACATGCTTCTGCTTTGCTTTTTGCTTGCGAACACATACTCTCATGCGCCAGACTCGCTTCGGGCGCGGCTCCGTCCTGAAGGATGCGGACGAGATGTCGGTTTCTTCGGTGGCTGAGCTGAGCACGGAAATGCGGTAAAGCGAAGACGCCGTTCCTAGCCAGCCCAGGCAGCAATCAGGAACGAGGTCCGGGGCCTTGGAAGTTAAAGATTTGCATCATGCCAAGTATTGTGAAATGATGCACGGGACGAAGCACAGGTGGATCGCTTTGCCAAAACGGCAGCAGTGACAGAAGCCAACCTCATGCGGCTGGAGAGGAGCGTCGTTTGTCGCGCTCTGCTAGTAGTGGCTAGTTGCCTTGGAATTGTGTTCAGGCGCTTGCATGGCCGAGCTCAAAAGCGCGTCGCCGACGACAGCCAGTCTGTACGGGCCTTTCGTCAAGCTATGCAGTAAGTTGGAACTGTTGCCGCCTGTATGAAATCTGCGAAATTGTGTCACGGTGTTTGCTTCTTGCCAAGATGATCTCGGGAGTGTCTGCCTACACTGGCATGTCACGTTCGCGCAGCGCGACATCTCTGGCTGGCAGGCCGGAAACGGCTGATAACAGCGGAATGTTTCTCGCATGAATGCTGAGTTGAGTGAGTTGATGAAGTCGTGTTTCTGCGGCTCCAGGGAAATGGTGGGAGGCAAGCCCGAGCTGCCGTCGTCCTATGACTGGACCCGACTGGATGAATATGCGCAGCTTGCCTAACGACACCACGAGTCGACCCCGGAAGCCGACGCTTGATCATGGTCTCTGCGAGGTCATACCTGCATGAACAAGATGCCTTGCGCCAACAGCTGGGTGTGAAAGCATTGCAACGAAAGATGAGAATGGATCTTGATCAGCAGGCCGGGTGACATGAGGCCTTGGGTTCGGAGAGAGTGTGAATGACTGCGTGCGCTTGTTTTGAAGGTGGCCGAGAAAGCCAAGAAGAAGGTGGATGCAACTGAGGAGGAACGCCGCTACCATGAGCCAGGATCTGAGACTTTTCCAGAGCCAGCTCATGGCAATTTAGTCACAAGTTGTCTTTCCAGCATGTGGACCAGCACCCTTCTTTCTGTCCTTCGCATGTATAGCTTGAGTCATAGTGGAAAGTTCTCTTGGCTTGCACACGACACGAAAGAAACATTCCATAGCAGTTTTAATAGCATCTCTTACAATGCCAAGACGCATGCCAGTCTCATAGCTCGTTGTAGTCATACAGTGCAGAGCTTGGCAGACCTCTTATGTGGCGAGGCTGCACAAGACGATGTGGCTTAAACTTGACCTGAATGTGAGGAATTCTCTCATGGAGCTCGAGCGCTGGAAAGAGCAAGAGCAAATTCGGCAGGCGCATAGAATGCTGCATAGCAAGAGTCGCGCAACACGATGATGCTTCAAAAGATGTCAAAGGCGAATCTAACAGAGCAGCTGCGTCCACTGATACACAATGACAAGTTGAATGTTCATCGGAGAACCTACTCGTGTGGCGGCATGCAAGAACTCTTGACACGGACCCGGCCGAAAACAGGACGAGAAGCAGGATCGCGTCATGAAGGCTCGTCAGCCAGTTGGCCTAGGTTCCAGTCAGGCGACGATGTGCTGTTGCTAGCAGGAGAAGTCCGACCGAGATGCGCAGCTGCAGTACGAGCCACGATCCTACTAGCTGCTGGCTTTGCTTGTTTTTTTCACAATCGTGACCCGCTGAAGGCGCAAGCTCAAAGACGAGGAGACGCAAAAGAAGAAAGACGAAGAAGCGCAGCATCCCCGCAGATATGCCGAAGACTGGATGGGTTGCCATGTTGGCTCATCGTAGGGCGTCTCCAAGGTCACTTGTTGAGAAGATCGTAAACGAGATGGAAGCGGAACAGCGGCGTGACCAGACTGCAACGAGAAGCTGGCCCACGCTGGCCCTATCATGCTCCAGTGACTCTAGTGACTCTCGTATCAACCTGTGCCCTTCAGGCTATGAGCGGAAGAAGGATCGGATTGCCGAAACCGGTGTTATCAGCAGGGTGCATTTGTAGTTCTGTGGAATGTTCCAGCTGCAGTTCTTTCAGGAGCAGACTAAGAAGGCTATGCGAAAAGTATTCGAGGAGAACATGGAGGCTACTCAAGTGAGCAAGTTTGTGTCGTAGACTGTTCACAGACACTCGTTCCGGCACACCCAGTCACAGTAGTATTGTAGGATCAGCGGAAGAGAGACAAAGCAAAAAAAGAAGCCATGGAGAAGGAGGCCACAGGGAGTGCTCTTGAAAGTTAGAGCATGTTGCGGAACAGAATCCGGGATTGATTTGAGGTGACGGTAGGAATCAGGGAGCCAGGTGTCGCAAGGTTTCTTAAGACTACGACTACGACACGACACTTTGTAGGGGTTCGTGTACTCTTCCTCGGCACTGCCACAGCAGCCGGCACACTGCAAAAGCACTTTTGCGCTTCCAAGAAGCAGCGGCCTGTCAGGCTGAGACAATCAAGGAATACAACCGGCTGCTGGATGAGCAAGAAGAACAGCGTGCACAGGAGCTGTCAGCACGCATGGAGCGCAGCGCCCCAAGTCTTGTTGATGATTCGCCTAGGATGTCGTGCAAATTCTAAAAATGGCGGATCCAACATCCATGCACAGTAAGATAGGGCCTGAAACCTGTTTGGGATTTCGGTACAAGCCCCCAAAGTCCTAAGGACAGGCAGATTTGATGAAGAAGTTGCTGGAGAATGTAGCCAGTGGCTCAGAATTCGAGAAGATTCTTGGTTTAGCGATGCACAGTGGTGTGGTATACAGTATACACCTCGCCGAGCGTACAAGGACACAGTGAAGAAGGGAGCCGGCGACAATGACGCGCAACGAGCAGCCCTGCAGGCAGACGAGCAAGACAGGCCATCTTCTCTTGGGTTTGGCCGCGATCTCTTGTCATTGCTTGACTGCGTTTTCCGCCAGGCATTACTTCGAAGCAGAGTCCGTAAAGCAAAATCGCTTGCAGCAGTGCTGTGCTTGGAAACTAAGACGTGTCATTGCTTGGGGTACGCGGCATTACTCGGCATTTGTGCTTGCAGCCTGCCAGCGCCCTGTCGAATGGAATGAGGATGCGATTTGAGAACCAAGCCTATCTGCTCAAGCAGATGGAAGAAAAGGACTCGAGAAAGAACGAGGCCAGGTCAGTTGGCAGTCGCAGCTGTCCGTTTGATGTATGGTGGTGTCAAAAGCAACACATCGTGCCAGGACAAGTATCTCCAACAGATTCAAGCACAGATCCTGGAGCGAGATTCAGAGGCCGTTTTGCGAGTATCACGTCGACATGGTCAATCGGGCACTAGCTGTATCCAGATGTCATAGCAGTATCTTCGTTGAAGGAGTACAACGCCATCGAGAAGCAGAAGGTGGTCGATCGTCGCCTACGGAATCTTGAGCATCGCAAGGCCAAGCCACAACGACATTTGCATACTGCAAGCATGCATTGCACCAAGATGCGTTTCACAGGACATAGAGCGACAGATTGAGTACAAAGCGCGCCAGTCTGTTCCAGAGATGAGCGCCCTCGACTGCACAATTTAGCACTAAGGCAAGGAAAGTAACTACATTGAAGAGTTTTTGAGATATTATGTGCATCTTGAACGTATGACCGCCCGCTCGGTGCGAAGCTGCTAAGGTGAAGCAGAGATTCAGCTAAACAGGCCTGTATGAAGCGGCCGTATGAAATCGTGGTTGTATGAAGACAGACGGAACACAAGGGTTCCTGACAGGCCTCTCCTACACCTGGTGGAACAGACACTACAGACTCGGGATGAGAATTTGAAGAAGGCGCAAGAGATGGCACCGGTGCTCGATGAGGATTGGAGTGAGCATGCCACTGTCATATGCTTTGACACCGCCCTTGAGTAGAGCGGGTGATGTGAGGACCTGGATGGCGACATGTGATATATGAGTACTGCCAACCGCCTGTCCCACCGCGGTCTTAGTTTTCGTAATACTCGACAATCAACAATCCGCTGATTTGAGTGCTAACGCAGATGAGGGAGTGGCATAGCTTTGTACACTAGCTCCATCTAGAATCTAGCGATGCCGATAATCGTGCATCGCGTCTGCAGCAGCAAGGACCAAGTGCAAGTTGCCAGACCCATTGCCAATTGCAAGCTACTCGTTTCTTTCAAGGGCATCAGGAGCAGTGGAACGATTGAGCACTTGTGCCAACTTGTGAAATGCCCATAGGAGCGAGCACAAGTGTTGCTGACCTATTGCTTTCACCTCGTTTCACTCACAATCCTTCCACCGGTTCGATGCAGAAGTTAACGTACTGTGTGAGAGCCATCGGTTTGCCTGCGTTTGTGTCGTGGACAATCGAGAAGCATGGAATTCATGTCCAGTGCAGTTTCACCACAGCGACCTGCGTTTGTGCCACATATCCAGGTTGTTTTTCTCCAGGCAGCCTTACATGAGTTAGTCGTGCCTGCTACACACTCTTCTGAGATCCATCTTGGCAGTACACAGCTCAAGCCAAGCTGTTGCCGACCTTCTGGCTGCTGGTCATCTGTGCATAACAGCTCTCCCTTGGTCTCAGGATTCCACTGTGCTGACAGAGTCCGAGCGAGCAGAGGCCGCAACCGCTTGGACTCGTCTCGTCACTGCGTCCAATGTGAGAGGCTAAGGCCGGCCTCGCGCGCTTGCCCCCTGACTGACTCTTTGTGGGGTGGCTACGGGGACTTCTTTGGAGCTTCTTTGATCTTCTTTGAGCACCGAGGCTGGAGCGGCTTAGCTGGGACAGGCAGCGTTGGTCCACCGAGGCTGTGGGAGTTTCTTCAGGGGAGGCAGAGCTTGCGGCCATCGGCCACGCTTGCTGTCAACCTCGGCCCGATTGCAAGCAGCGGGCTTGTAGAGACTAGGTTTACCTGGACATTTCGGGAAACAAACCCAGTTGCAAGTGGAAGACTGGCTTCCAAATCAAGGCTTACTTGGCAGGTTCCGAGACGAATGCAGGAGTCGGGCAAGCCAAAATACCATTTTAGGGGGGAGCGGGAGGAATAAGAGGAGGAGGAAGCGGTTTCCGGACAGGAAAGAGGGAACCTCTGACCGCTCCGACCGGGGACGAGGCGAACTCCTCCCTACATCCATCGGAAACAAGGGCTAGTTTCCAACTGGACGGATGACATCAAAGATGCATTGCTGAAAGCCAAATAGATCGCGACGACGAGATTTCTAGTGCAAGCTGCTCCCATGAGCTATCCTGGCAGGACACCAAGTTGGTGAAGGAGGCGGTTTGCGCTTCGTGGTGTATGACACAGCACTGATATGTGAATGTCTGGGAAAAATCGCAGGTGGCAACCCTCCTTCGATCTGAATATCCGGAGCTGCTGCAGAGCAATTGGGTCAGAGACCTTAGTGCAACTCATGCGTTTTTGAGCCCGGGTCACGGTTTGCCAGGTGTGGGCGGTTGTGAGTCTGATGTCTTTCTTGAGGGGTTGTCGTTTGCAGGTTCCACGATCCGCCAGAAGCTTGGAGTCCATGTTGGCAAAGTCCAGATCAGTCTTAGTGCGACACCCGTTTGCCGCTTGAGGTTGTGACAACGATTGATTTCACAAGATAGAGGTGGCAAGCACGCGCGGGCAAAACGATGGTTCAGCCTGCCGACCCGAGCTAGCGTCGCGTCATTTTGTAGTTCGACGCAGTTGAAAAGAATCCTCCTTCCGTTAAACCTGGCACCGAGGTCGAAGTAGTGGACTATAGTGGGCTCCTGCAGCGCCGCATAAGAAGTCGCACGAGGGTGAGCGAGGTCAGGTTGGCTACGGTGGTACAGCTTCTTCCGGAACAGTAGTTTTGGCCGGCTTAGAGTCTGGAAAACTCAAACGACAACTATGTTTAACGGTGATTTGCAAAGCTGTCCCGACCCGAAGAATTGAAAGCTTCCTGGCCAGCCAGAAAATTGTCCCCTCAATGTGTGCCACATCTTGTTGGGATGGTAATGGTTCTTCCATAGGTTCATTTCAGGTGGAAAAGCCTTAGGATTGTCAGGCGACTTCAGCTGACTGCATTCTGCCGTGCTTGCTTGAGAAGTGCGATCAAACCCCGTCGCCTATTGAGGGGGCAGGCTTAAGACATGTGGTCATCGGCGGCTCTTAACTTGTCACACCGACTGCACACACATGGATCCTCGCCTGGCTTGTCCGAGTTGTGAGAGTGTAAGACATGTGGTCAACCACCATCAGCAAGTGAATCCCAGTGAAGGGGGGCGGGGAGGCCGCCGCTGGTCTGCAAGCTGGTAGTGGGACCCCGACCGGCTGTGCCAGGGCGTTGGACGTGGTGCGGTGCCGCAAGAACGGGGCCAACGCCCGCTTTCCGCTGCTGGTCTTCTGCCTTCTGGACAGCCTCCAGGAGGCGCGGAAGGAGCACCTCGCGGACCTTGACCAAGGCCCAGGCTCCATCCAGGCTCGCAGCTCCTCCGCCTCCTCCGGCAGCTCGCTGACGACGCAGTCAGCCTCGCCGACCCGAAGCCGAAGGCACCTCCACTCGCAGAGGCTACGCATGATGACCCTGCTCGGTAGGAGCGGCGCAGTGTTTGTTGGACGGCCGTGTGCGGTGCGCAGGCCAACGCAGCCAGTAGACGTTAACAGCTTGAGTGAGGCCCAATGCCTCAATCTCTTGTACATAGCCAGTGCAGCTCATTTGATTATCGCCGCTCCATCAATTTCCGATTCCCGGGCGGCGTACGACTTTTTGCTGTGCGACGCAGCATGACAAAGACATCGAGCTGCTGAGTTTCATTCTAATGGTTATAGTGAGGCATGTGATTGGAACAACTAATGAACACATGATGTCATCGAAGTTCCGGCTGTGTAGTCAGTGAATGGATACCGGACCTAGATTCTTCCAGAACCACATCCTTGCAAATCGTGGAGGTTGCAAAGAACGCCGTAGCGAAAAAGGCTCAGCTGGTTGCGCGGCCGTCGACTTGACTCATCGGATACATGGCCAAAAGCAAAGTTCATTCTTCAGAGATTCATTGTCTTCAGGATTCTAGAGAGGGGCTCGCTTCCAGCACTCCTCCAACGTATTGAAAGCTCTTCGGTTCATGGCAGGCTTGACACCGGTGTAGGTGAACAGAGTAGGCCTTGACAAAACGCCATGTGGTGCGGCCTCGCGTTTGACTGAACTGCGCTTAGTGCCTGAATACAATGGTTCAGATGGCGAAAGTAACACTGACCATGAGTGCCTTGTGCTCAACCCACTGAGGGACTTGCAGTCAAGCGGCAGGCGACGCTGTAGAACAGAGTTGTGCTACATGAAAGGTTTTGAGACGTGCGGCCAGGTTGTTGGGATGAGTCGGAGGTAGTTGGGGCCTAAGCGACGTCTCGAGCTGTGCTTGAACTGATGTTCCCAGCAAACCATCCAGGTCATTACTCCGGGACCACCCAACGAAGGTCTCAATGACGGCGATGAAGGTCTCAAGGACGGTGCAGCATGGTTGCAGGGTATGGGGAGTGGGTAGGGTCCGAAAGGCTTCAGAGGGGCCCCCCCCTCCGCAAGCGGCAGGGCGTAAATTCTAACTGCCACTGCCATCAGGTTCTTCGAACACATTCGAAAACCATCATTTCATGCTCCTGCATCGTGCAACTGGTCAACTGGCCCATGCCGTGCGTCAACACTGGAGTGACTGCCCGGATCCTGCCAGGCAGACTATTTCAGTGAGCTCTTCGCTGAGTCTTTCTGGCATACTTTCAGTTAGTTTGTTTTTCAAGGTTAATTATATAACTTTGTATGCTTTGCAAGTCTTCAGTTGTGAGAGCTTCAAACTGTGAGTCCCACAGTATGTACAGTTTCTGCCAGGTGTCCTGGCCTGGTAGCTGCGAACCTCACAGTGCCCACCTCAAAATGAGTTGCAGCATGTCGTTGCCGACGCTGCGCCAATGCGCTGCAGGTTCAGGAGGCTGCCAAGCTTCGGGCAGCTTGCGCCAGCACATCGGTGCAGCCGGCCTTCAACAAGCTCTTGAAGCTGCGGAGGTGGGAAGGATACTTACTGGGGGTTAGTAGGGAACGAGGGTATATACTATATAGGGGTTATATCAGAATTATATTCCCTTCTTCCCTACGAACCCCCTGATTCAATGCTCCGTGTTGGAAAGCGTTCTCCGAATCTCTGCAGGAGACACTTGCTCGCGCTGCGTTTTGCCCAACGACGCCGCTCACAATGCCCTGAAGCGTCAGCGAATCAGCTGTTGCATGACCAGAGCTGGCTGCGCAAGAAGAGGAAGTCGAGCAATTTGCTTGGTATGCCATACACCTACGAGCTAACAGACTCAGTTTGGGATGGCTGGGCTGGCTTTTTCTACATCCCTTGCGGCGTTAGCCAGTTTCCAGCCAGCTTTACACAGAGCTTGAGGGTTCGGTCACCTTGTGGTCTTGTTCATTGTGCTTGCTGCAATTTGAAACTTGATTCGCTTGATCTAGGATCGGGCCGTCAATATATGACTTGTCTCGCCTATGTTTTTTTTGTCGTGGCTACTTGCTTCCAAGCTCACTCTCAGGTTGCCGAGGCATCGCTCTGTGTGATCATGGAGCCGAGTATGGCAACGCCTCTTTTCAGCTTCAGCGCGGCGACCTGGATGTGATGTGGTGGGGTGCGAGATGTAGGCGCAGAACAGTCGGCAGAACCATGCAGAACCAGCAGGACGACATCACCCATGTTGGAGGCAGAGACGCTCGAAGCTTCAGATGTTGAAGTCGACTCTGCGTGCGTGGAAAAAGCGAAACAAGAGAAATAAGATTCGTGCACATGCATGCCACAGCGCCAAGAGGCCATGGTGCCAGACGTAAATTTTGAATCAAGTTGCCCTCTCCTTCCATCTGTAGCCGCTGGCAAGCTAGATTTTGGAAAGCTGGTGCCGCGGTCCGTGGCTAGCCATGGCTATGCTTCTAGGCACAGCCGCATTGGAACCCCTTTACAGCAAGAAGGCAGCTTGCTAGGGCCAGTGGAATGCTCAAGCGACCGGCCTCTCACGAATATACTTGTCGACGCCCAGCATCTTCCATACGGATGCCATGCGTCCCAAGCCTGTTGTTGCATCTCATGCTTGATGCAATGTCTCAAATACTGCATTATACTATTACATTATTATGTTGCCTTGCTGATTCGTTTTCTAAGGGAGAGTTATCCGATTGAGATGACATACGTGATTGAATTCGTAATCATGCTTTGCAAACTTGCTGCAGCTCAGTTCCTGAAGCTTTAATGATGCATATCCGCATTGATCTGCTTGCAGGAAATATGAGCACGCTGCTACATCTGCTTGCAGATCTTAAAAAGTTTTTTGCAGAATCATTCAAATTCTTCGCTTACTGAGGGTCATAGCCCCAATGAAAACAAGGGAGTCGGCAGCATTATTTGTTTGGACGATAGGATTCGGCTTGATTAACTCTATTATTATCTTAGTTGAATCTTTGGGGTGTCTGCATAAACCTATCGAAAGGATATCAAGGCTAATAAATTATAACTTCGGTAGTGTGAAAATAACGAAAAAGCTAGAGTTATTCATAAAATATGAGACCGGTAATATCTTATACTCTCTTATTAAAATATATAATATAAATGAAAAATTGAATTTGAAATATTGAAAGTATGCAAATAGTTTTTTTCAATCTTGTATATATGATTTTAATATTATATAAAAAAGCAAAGAAATTTGATAAAAAAAAATATAAATAATGGATAAATATTGGCAATCTAATCTTATATATTTCAATATTTTATTCAAAATTCTTCTAAAAGATTATTTTCTTTTCAAAAAATATAGATAATTTTTGTTTCAAGAATTTCTTATTATTGTTTTATATTATCTAATATGTTAGTCATAAAAGTTAATTTTTTTTTTATATATTTTCGAAAAAGAAATTATATGATATGCTGAATCATTAATCTAATGATTTGAATGGATCAAATTTATATATAGAATAAATAAATGGATATGGATTTCTATATTCTATCTTTTCAAAATGAGTTTATCTTTA